AAAAAAGTATTAAAATATTTGCCCGGTTTAATTTCATATAATATGTTGTCATTGTTTAGTTAGGCTACTAATTCAGAGTAGATATGAGAGATGGAGAAAAATCGGCGAGGGTGTGTGTTTAAAAGCAGTAATTCGAGCTGAACGGTCATAGCACTATTTGTTATACTTAACGATATATGTTTGAGAATATATATATATATATATATATATATATATATATATATATGTGTGTGTGTGTGTGTGTGTGTATGAGACAATTATGATTTAGTGATACAAGTCTTATATAGCTGGAATGGAGAAGAGATGGGTTCATGCCTTTTCTAGTGGTAATTGTCGTAAGTGAATATAAGGAAGACAACTGGAGTCGGAACTCAGCTCTCCGATTAACAATTCTGAGCCATTACCCCTTATATCAGCCCCCACGTCCAAGCTTGCAACACCCGGTATTCCCAAGCGCAGTCACCCATCTAGGCACTGACCAAGCTCGACGTTGTTTAACTTCGGTTATCATACGGCAACTGGTGTTTGAACTAAATGCGTTCGTACGCCTGAACATTATTTGTACATTTATTTGTTAATTAACCACAAATATATGAGTAATGAGTTTAATATTTCATCCTTTTAATGAGTTTTTTTTTTCTTATAAAATAATAAGCAATTCTCGATAAATCCCGTGAGACGTTTATGGCAAATGAAATAACGTCAAATGACCTTAACTTCCGTATGATTTTTCATTTAATTTGATGGAAATGTTGTCCTTAATACATTTTGAAAGTGTAGTACTCTTAGCATATACATTTTTTCTCTTCAGAAACATTTCGTCAATATAATAATGTTCTTTTAAATTAATTCCGTTATTCCTAAATAACATTTTTACTCAGTATTTATAATGTTTGTCACCGTAATTTAATAATTTTTTTTTCTGATTGAGCATTTACTTCCGCCGGCGTAGATAATTTCAGTTGTTGGTCCAACATTATTTTACCTACATTAAAGGTCTGGTAATATAGTCTGCGGATATATCAATAGAACATCACCTACGTACCTAAAATAAAAAGACTAATGTAGTAAAAAAGAGATAGGCTCGTGTAACACTAGAAGGGAAGGCCTGAGTAAATTGAAGTTTTAGTTAAAAATTTATTATAAGGGTGCGGCAACCTTTCGTTAATCAGTACTATTTTGCTTTCTATAATGGTATTTAGCGTATATACTCGCGTATCGTGCGACTTTTGAAGACCTGATTTTGGAGCAAATTTTAAGAGGATCGCATCATACACGAGATATAAAATTAGCGTGTATACTGCTGGACTTGGCTACTCCATTGACCAAACTATATATCCATTTACTATAGTTAAAAAGTACAGTTGTATTTAAAATAAACCTGATTTTGTTAAAACTAATGGTTTACTTAAGTATATCCAATATTAATGCATGTAATACTTTTTTTTAAGCATTTCACCCCAAGCAAGGCGGGAAGCCACTAGGACGCAAGGGGTTACAGAAAATAGGAAGATCAGATAGGAGTGATAGAAGAAAGGATGAGGGTAGTAGATAGATTAAGGCAACTGGAGATGTCGATTGACATTACACTTGAATAGCTGGAGATTATAGCTCACAGGGAAACAGGAGAAGGGATGGAGTTCCACAGGCGAGAGGTGCGAGACATGAAGCTATTAGAGTAGAAGAGACGGCTACATTTAGGAGTTTCGACAGTGAAGGGGTGAGAGCGGGATGCCAGCCTCGTAGGGCGCTTGAACTCATGAATGCGAATGCAGCTCCTCGGAGCAATTTCCATGAAAGTATTTGTAGAACAGACAGAGATTCACATATTTGTATCATATCATAAAATACAAACATAGCAAATATGCATCTTTTCCATTGTTTACGTTTATAAGATGTCTAGCTGTTTCTCGTCTGATTGTTTATGACTGTACGCGTTTACGCAACGAGTATAAAGGTACTAACGATACTAACGATACTTTTATCATTCTCTTTTACTTTGTTTAACTTATTTAACTAGCAGATGTAATCAAATTTTATGATTTTTGGTAGTTCTCATTGGACAGACACGCGTCACGTGTATAAACCCAATAGATCATACATATAAGTGTGAAGAACATTTAGGATGTTAAAGTGTATGATAGTGTAAGAGTGTGTAAGTAAAGAAATGCTTCTGTGTGTGTAGGTGTATGTAGGACGGGTAACATTAATTGTAAGTGTATAAATGCGTATGTGAGGGAAGTCTACAGATATCACTCACGTATTTTATCGGTGAAATGTAGCGATATGTTGCAAAATAAGTTTGCATTTGGTTCGATTGTTATATTCTTGTCTATGTGCCTGGTTGTCTGGGAAATGTCTGTGGTCTGTTACGTGTTGATAATTGTAACAAAGGAAAAAAAATGATTTACCACAACACAGAGCTAAATCACAAACAAATATTTAATTTACTAAAACAGAACATAAAATATATACAGGATAAACAATTGTAGCCTAGAAAACAGAAAACACAGAGTTACTGGCGAAGTGTTACGAGGGAGAAGGAAAGGGAATCAAATATTTTTATCACTTTAGGGCTAGTGAAGTAATCTAAGTGCTATATTTGGAAATCCACAAAGGTGTGTAAATAAATATTAATTTTTAGTTTGGTCAATGAAAATTAGTCAAAATTCTATTTACCAAATTTGTTCCATGAAATTCTCTTTTGGGTTTTTGTTGGTCGGCAACTTTTTATAGAGATTCTTTCGGCTGGATATAATAGTCCTTGAATCAAAAGCCGGAGTTGATAACAACAGTACAACCCTTTTCCAAAATCCCATGATTATAGGGGCTAACACCTAATTTGCATATTTCTAGATGTTTCTCGAATCATCTAGATTTTTCTCGAATATACTAGAATGATCTAGAATCTTCCAAACATTCTATTTCTAATTTCTCTATTTTAAAACTACTTCATGAATGAAAACTTTTTTTGTAATAACAAGTAGAACTCAGTGGAATCCCTTATTATAGAAATGTATCCTCGTAACAGGTCGTCAACTCTTTATAGGTTGGTGAAACGAAGTAAGGTTTTGTAATAATCTAGTTTTGGTTACATTTAATATTCGCATTTTTGAAAAGAGGAAATTTGGAAAATCTTCATTATGTTAGACATAAGTTAGATTGATAAATAATGAATCAGTAGAAAAAACAAACACACACGAAAAAATAATATATATATATATATATATATATATATATATATATATATATATATATATATATAAAGAAAGGAACAGTAAGATATATAATCCAGTGTTTTTATAGATATTTTTACAAAATAGTGCTCAATGTAAATTTACAGAGCATTAATATTATAAATTAATTGATTTAAAATATTTTTTTTCGCTACACAGTTCTAACCATGTTTCAAAAATGGAAGCTAAAAGCCCTGAATTTAATTTTGTAATTAAATTAAAGACATTAGTTCCATTTCCCCCCTCAAGCAATTTTGGAGTAACTTGTAAAATTACTGGGTTTTAAAGACACAGCTAAAATCATAATTCATGTTTCCAACATATATGATATATATATATATATATATATATATATATATATATATATATATATATATATATATATATATATTATGAAATGGACAAAAGTCCGACAATTATTTTGAGACATTTTTTTTAATGTTTATACGTTCTTTTATAGATACAAGTATTTAAGTAAATGCTCTGTTTATAATAAACAGTATTAACAACATTTCTATGAAAAATTTCTCGGACATTCAGGCCGGTAAATGTTATTAATACTGTTTATTATAAACAGAGCATTTACTTAAATATTTGTATCTATAAAAAGAACGTATAAACATAAAAATGTCTCAAAATGCATATACATACACACACACACACACACACATATATATATATATATATATATATATATATATATATATATATATATATATATATATAAATATATATATATATGTATATATATGTATATAAAATAAATATATATGTGTGTGTGTATGATAAAATGAACTAAAGAATAAGTCGGAAACGAATCTCAATCTAACATGTTTCACCTTTATTAAGGCTTCATCGATGATCGATAATAGAAATGAAAAAGCGGAGACAGAGTACTGGAATGTTATGATTTTTGGTAGGTCTCATTGGTCACATACGGCTGACATGTATAAACGCAATAGATAATATATAAATATGTGTGAAGAACATTTAGGATGTTAAAGCCTGTGATAGTATATGAGTGTGTAAGTAAAGAAACGCTTGTGTGTGTAGCTGGATGTAGGATGGTAAGGTTAATTCATGTAAGGTAATAAGTGTGTATGTGAGGGCAGTCTACAGATATCACCTTCGTGTGTGTGTGTGTGTGTGTGTGTGTGTGTGTGCGCGCGCGCGTATGTATATGTGTGTGAAAAACATACATACATTTTTATTTTAACTAACAATAGTTATGCAAAAAAAATGGGAAAACAAAATTAAGAAAATCGTATAGAGTATACACACATAACATATAAAAAAATTAAATTTAAATTTAAAATTCTCAGGTTGCCCGGACCTTCGTGCGCATGTGCAGTAGGGAAGGTTGTTCTTTCGCTTATTTTAGAAAATCAACATTTCCATTAGGCGCTTCACGTTCTTCTAATTATTCGCTAATATTTCGCCTGTATATATTCGCATATTGTTTAGCAGTCAGACTCAAATCTCTCACTCAATTTCATGTTCCCTTGACAAGACTCCAATTTTTAAACCGACACACACAAAATGCTAGCGACAAATATTCAATAAATTCACTGTACACGCTAACTGCGGACTTACCAACTATAAAAAGAAAATAAGCGCTTACATCTACATGTATGTATGTTTCAATATCACCATACATCGTAATAAGTAAGTGGTGGCATTCGTAGAGATACCTATCGGACTGCTCAGTCCGTTCATTCTGATGACCAACGGCGCTGGGAGATCGTGCGTGAGCGTTACGTGACGTTAGCCAAAGTTCACGAGTTTATCTGCACGTCGTCTGCTTATTGAAGCGCCACTGACGTATGTCGGCAAGAAAAGGAGGCCATCTGCTCTGTTACGTGAGACGATTGTCAGATCGGGTGAGTGCGCATGCCCAGAAATTGAGCTTTTGGCCTGTGCAGCTTCAATGTTCCAGCGACTCGTTCGCTTTTTTTTCTTTTCTTTTTTCTTTTTTTGCCTTTACGGACGCATCGCCATTTAATGGATAAGCAGGCAGCTGAAAAAGAAAGACAGGGAAAAAGAGAAAGAGAGGGAGAATGCGAAAGACAGAGAGAGAAAGAGAGAGAGAATAAATATAACAAAAGGAACAGGTTGAATCGAGATGTGTGCTTTTCTGCGCGTGTATGTGTGCGTCTACAAATGTGTGATTATTATACTATCAGGCGTAATACAACCCTTTTATCATTTTCCAATCAAAAGGCGGTCGTATGCATAGCTATTCAGGCATTATAAATATCTCTCGGTGCAGAATATGCATGTGTGTGCGCATCAAAGAATGCCGAGTGGTTAGCGAGTCAACATTTTCACCATAAAACCCGGGTTCAAATCACACTTTGGTAATATACCTGGTGTAACAGTAAAATTGTCCAAATCGTGTAACAGCAAAATTGTCCAATAGTTAGATTAAGATCTAAGTCGGTGTATCTAAGAAATGATTAAAGATATCTTACTGGAATTCTCCGAGGTTTTTATAACACTATTGGACTCTACTTTGAGCAACGAGAATGTATAATTATTCTCCAAGCTAAACAGAAGAATCGCGATGAAATCGATCATAAACGAAAATGACATGTTCATCATTAATTAATCATTGCAAAGAATACGAAGCTCATGAAGGATTGATATAAAGTTCATATATATATATATATATATATATATATATATATATATATATATATATATATATTCCAGGATCATTTTCCAATTTATTCAAGATGATCTTCACCCCTCTAACCTTCTAACTTTCTGTCCTGGAGTAACATGTACAATTTCATTTTCATGTCTTTTTTCACTGCTCTTTGGAATGTCACAGGTAAAACTCCTCTCTCACATTCCAAAAGTCTTATGGATTGAATTGGATCTTTTCTAATTGATCTCTTTAGTTCTAATTTGAAATGCTGATCCCCCATGCTGTTGTGGCCTCCTGATCCAGTTTTCCTCTCTACCGTTCCCTCTTTATTAAAACTTATCCACCGTTCTCTTGATGATTCTTGAATGGACTTTGAAGATGTAAGCCAGAGTATGAATGTGTGTACCATTACTGAAGTTCTGAATGATCTTTTTCCTCTGACCATTGCTCAGTTGGGAAGACATAGTGAGGCTGACACAAAACGATTTTAACCTGTTCTCATTCTACCTGAATAACTGAAAGGGTTTTTCAGTGATTCTTACGACAAATGGCGTCAAGATGGTTAAAGGTCTTATCCGAAAATCTGGAAAAAAAGTGATTTTTTAGATATTAAACATTTTGCGGGATGGAGAATTATGCTGTTACCTGATCTGGGAAGTTTCGCTGTTACACCCGATAAACATACCCCGGTGTTCTTGACAAAATCCGAAAAAAATAAATATCTGTGATGTAATCGAACCTGACTCAGCATCTTGTCTCCGGACAATTTCTCACCAACGTGACGTAGCTTCCCATTGTCTTTTCTACAATTTCATGGCAATTGCTTTGACGAGATTTGTTCCCTGATGTCCTGAGTACACGAATTTAAGCGCGGTACTAGACTGGCATTTAGGTCCCACCCGTTTACTGTTGAAATAGCTAAATGCAACCGTCACTACTACTTTTACATCTTCTTTTCTCGCACTTCCTACCTGTGGAACTCCATTCCGTTTAATTGCTTCCCGAATAACTACAATATTCAAAAATTTAAATGTCAGTCGCCATCTTCTGTGTTCTTGATACCCGTTCATCTTTTGTCCTTTCCTCAATCCTCCTTATACTCAGTCTTTTCTCTCATTTTCACTCCCTCTAAAACCCTGCATTCTAGTGACATTCCCGCCTTTCCTGGGGTGAAATGATTGATAAAATTTAAATGGAACATCAGTCGCCATATTTCTTCAATCCTCCCTATTCTCAGACTTCTCTCTCACTTTCACTCCCTAAAACCCACTGCTTTCCTCTCTTGTTTGGGGTGAAATGATAAAAAAACATCCGATAGGAAGGCCTCTGATCGGGAAGATTTGAAGAACTCGGAACCACCTCTTAATTGCTGTTATTCCCAGGTCCATTTTGACCCGGAGGTGGTAGCCTCTATTAGCGTCCCAACTGCGAGGAAATAATGAAAGCACAAAGAAAAATAAATCACTATGGAAATATAAAAATAGATTTTTTTGTAAAATTACCAATATCTATTCATAGCAAAATTACCAGCAAATACATTTTTAAAGCAAAATAGTAAAACATTTCATAGCAAAGTCACTAACAATACATTTTATAGGAAAGTCACTAACAATACATTTTATCTGAAGTTGAAGGCAAGCAATTGCGTTCAAAATATATTTACTTAAAGTCATATGAATTGTGTTCAATATATTTAGATTTTGGCGTTAAATAACCCATAGAGGTGTTGATGTGCCGCTAAAAAAAAGGCAACGTAGCTAAATCTTGAGAAAATCCGTCTTGAGAGACCATCCCTGTATGCGTCGTGGTTTGGATGAGCTCAAAAGCCATGCCACCGATTGATTAGGGTCTTGTGAATAAAATCGTGTAGGCGAAACGATTTGGAAGACGCCGATAGTTTTGCCAGCATGAAGTTACAAGTCAGCATGACTGAGGTTTTCAGTCGACTGGTCTTGTTCAAACTGTAACTAATGTCAACTCAACATACCTGAGCTCTGTGAAATGTTGCACAAGCACAAAATGATTTTTTTGCGACCCAAACAAGGCCCTAAAATATTCATATAATAATGACAATTCTTTTCATTTTTCATTCAAAATACTCTATTTTAGGAATACGTTTTCACAACATCGCCCACGTGACGCCGACGTGATCATATTGAAACAGAACGCTGATCTTCAAAAATTTCAGTTGTCTGTTTTGATTAGTCTTACTCTTATGTCCATCATCTTTTCATGTTGAATTAAATATAGTCTAATGTTAATTATGAATTATGAATATGTTCTGAAGATGGTCTACTAGACCGAAACGTCCGACGTTGACATTATATTAACATTAAAACAGCATAATTGCATATTAGGATTTTTGTTTGTTTTTTTTTTTTATATTTTTCTTCATAACTGTATTTATATACAGGTTTCATGAAAGACGATTGGCAAAGGACTGCGATTATTTTTTTATAAATTTGTTTTTTTTTTGTTGTTTTTTAATTCAAACAAGGGATTCCTTTTCTTGACACCCGTCCTGGGTATGACGATAAACTACATCCGCATCCTGGGTAAGACGATAAACTACGTCCGACAGCAAGGAGGCGTAGAACCACCTCTTAATTGCTGGTGTTCCCAGGTCCGCCCTGACCCGGGGTGGTAGCAATTGTTAGAGTCCCAGCTATGGGCAAATAGTTAACCCCAAACTGGGGTCAAAAACAATGAAAGTGTAAAAATAGGATTCAATACCAGAAATACTTTGTAAAAAATTATTACGAGCAATATATTTTTGAAAGGAAATATTACCAGCAATGCATATTTGAAAGAAAATTAACAGAAATAGATTTAAAAAAAAATTACCAGCAGTAAAAACTTGTCGGCATTAAATAACCCTTTGAGGTTGATATGCCGTAAAAAAAGACAAACCAAACCAATATATACTAAGATAGATAGATAGATAGATAGATAGATAGATAGATAGATAGATAGATAAAAAAAAAATATTACCAGCAATAAAAATATTGTCGGCATTAAGTAAACCATTGGGGTTGATATGCCGTAAAACAAAACAAACCAAACCAATATATACTGAGATAGATAGATAGATAGATAGATAGATAGATAGATAGATAGATAGATAGATAGATAGATAAAATTACCAGCAATAAAAAATCTTGTCGGCATTAAATAACCCATTGAGATTGATATGCCATAAAACAAAAGAAAACAAACCAATATATACTAAGATAGATAGATAGATAGAATGAAATAGACTGAGATAGATAGATAAATAAAAAAAATATTACCAGCAATAAAAATATTGTCGGCATTAAGTAAACCATTGTGGGTGATATGCCGCAAGGCAAACCAAGCCAAAACAATATATACTGAGATAGATAGATATAGACTGAGATAGATAGGTAGAGAGAAAGAAATAAATAGACTGAGATAGATAGATAGATAGATAGATAGATAGATAGATAGATAGATAAAAAAATATTAACAGCAATAAAAATATTGTCGGCATTAAGTAAACCATTGAGGTTGATATGCCGCAAGGCAAACCAAGCCAAAACAATATATACTGAGATAGATAGATATAGACTGAGATAGATAGGTAGATAGAAAGAAAGAAATAGATAGATAGATAGATAGATAGATAGATAGATAGATAAAAAAAATATTACCAGCAATAAAAATCTTGCCAGCATTAAATAACCCATTGAAACTGATAACCTGTAAACCAAACCAAACCAAACCAAACCAATCTAATCTAATCTAATCTAATCTAATCTAATCTTCTTGACGCAGTGTTTTAAAATTGTCCAAATGATATGGTGATCTGGGCATTATCGGCTAAACTATAAGCCATTATGAAGGACTTTTTTTTTGTTTAACTGAATATGTATATTTATATTTATTTCTATGGGGAAGCTCGACGTTAATGGTTAACAAGCTTGTCTGACTAGTGAATAGTGAGTTCGATCCTCACTAGGTAACACATACTTTCGGTATATGATATGTAATAGAATAAATCTGTCAACTGTTTTAATGTATTTTCTGTTTATACCTTTTTTATGGATACACTTATTTGATTTGTATAGGACGCATATTTTTTTACGAAATTTACCGAACATTCAGAGTGGTAAATATAATTAATACAGTTTAAATAAAAAAAAAAACAGGGATTTTACGCAAATAAGTGTATCCATAAAACCACGTGTAAACAGAAAATATATTAAAATATTTGTCGGATTTAATCTACTTCATATAATATGTTGTCATTGTTTACGTTAGATTACAATTTCAGAGCAGATATGAGAGATCGAGAAAAATCGGCGAAGATATGTGTTTAAAAGCATTAATACGAGCTTTGTTAAACCGAAAGTTCTCTGTGACTGAACGGTCATAGCCCGTCAGACGTAATGACGGTTCAATATATATATATATATATATATATATATATATATATATATATATATATTGGCTCCGGAAAAATTAATTTCAGTTGAGCTCTCTGGGGAGGAGATGTGGGTTGGTAAACAGTGACTATTATAGCTATATAGCGAGACTCTTCGCTAATGCGAATTGAGTCACTCCCGGTCACTGGGCGTGTTTATAAAGATAAACACGCTAAAAATCCACTTTCCTCCCTACCTTTCCTCCCTACCGTTAGAATCTCCGACTGACACCAGTTCAGTCGGGTTTCGATCCTAGCTAGAGGCAACCGGATGTCTAGCCACACTGATGAGCTGTGAAACAGCGAAACAGTCTGTCTGTGGATGACGCTATATATATATATATATATATATATATATATATATATATATATATATATATATATATATATATATATATATAGTTAGTGTATTGTAGATAATTAGGTACGTTTGGAAAATCATTTGGGCATCTCGACGTAGTGTAATGATTTGCAAGCTTGTTTCTCTAGAACAGTTAGGACTGGGTAGAGAGTTCGATCCTCATTGGGTCTCCCATAACTTGTGCCACATCTAAGTTTCGCTTATAAAATCACTATAAAACGCAGGGATACATTTTCGTCTAAATTACGCAAAAATGAAATACTGACTCCTCATTTTAACAGATACATTTACCAAAACTACACAAAAATATCTTGAAATACTAAAAAGTAAATTTATTCAATAAAATCGATATTAGTTTCAACCACGGCCTCCAGACGACTTCGGAATCTCCTGCAACTCTTCTTGACGGTCTCCTTGTTTAAGATCGTGAATGCTGCAGTAATCCTTGCCTTCAGTTCATCTTTGGTGTCATAAGGTGTTTTGTTGATCTCTCATTCAACTGCTCCCCCCTCACACATGATAGTTGCAGTCTGGGGAGTTTGGTGGTCAGATATAAGGGATGATGTGGTCGTAGAAATTGTTTGACAGTCAGAACTGGGTTCTCCCGCTTGTGTGTCATGGCGCAGAATCTTGTTACCAGATATAGGTTCTTCCAGCGGCCATCCTCTTAGCCTGAAGGCACTTGATGCTGTCTTTCGTGTTGAGTCGGAAGCCCTGTGGGAAGATGAATGGCGCCATAGCGTCGCCATCATTAGTAATCATTCCAAACATTTTCATAATTACCATTAGATTCATCCAACTCTTTCCGAATTTTCTGGACAGTCTTCAGATTGACAGCCAAACACACTGAAATGTTCGCATTGTCACTTCCGACACAAATGTCAAGCAGTACAGAATGTCGTTTCCATATTTCTTGTGGAGTGAATTGCGTCCTGGTAATCTTTCTCTCACAGACGGTGCCCAAATAGCCAAACCCTTCTGGGCAGTTGAAGAAATGAAAAACAACGCGCATGCGCAAAATTAGAAATATAAATTATCCATCGTATTTATAGGGATGAGAATGTTTTAATTTCTTAACATGGTCAGTATGTTGTAGCCGTGTGCGCTCATAATTGTCATTATTGAGAGGTGACTTCTTTTTTAATGTTAACGCTTCCATGATTTCAACCATTTTTTTTTTTTTGCATGCTGATGAGTCTATTATATTCGTATTTTCCAGAAATATATTGCGGCTAGGTCTCCATGTGCATTTAAATGGGTCCTAATAAAGCTAAGATCCGAGATGTGCAAAGTAATTCTTCTTGAAATCTATATATGTATGTATTGAGTCAATTGCTTCTTCCACCGCGAGGAAAGTTGGCTCTCTGTGCCGCGCCAGGAAATTTTTCTCCCCGGAATCGATACTTCAAATATACAAATCAACCATTTGCCCTTGCATGGAGTATTGCTGCCATATATGGTCTGGGGCACCTTCCGTTTACCTCGGAGTTCTTGACAAGATCCAGAGACGGATATTTAATATAATTGGCCCTGATCTGGCATCTCGTCTACATTCACTCTCTCACAGACGCGCCGTCGCCTCTCTCTGTCTTTTCTACAAATACTTTCATGGTAATTGCTCCGATGAACTGCTTTCACTGGTTCCCAGACTTCATGAATTCAAGCGCCCTACGAGGCTGGCATCCCGCTCTCACCCTTTCATTGTAGAAACTTTTAAATGTAGCCGCCTCTTCTACTCCAATAGCTTCATACCTCGCACCTCTCGCCTGTGGAACACCCTTCCCAATTACTGTTTCCCTGAGAGCTATAATCTCCAACTATTCAAATGTAATGTCAATCGACATCTCCAGTTACCTTGATCTACCCACTATCCCTCTCCTTATCCTTTCTTCTATCACTCCTATCTGCTCTCACTCTAAATCTTCTGCAACCCCCTGCATCCTAGTGGCTTCACGCCTTGCTCGGGGCGGAACGCTTAAAAAAAAAAAAAAAGTTAGATTGGTCGGTAAATTTTCTCTTATATTTTTTCTTCTTCATCAGAAAAGAACATAATTTCAAAGTGGGTTTCTGTCATTCCAAATAATATTTTTTATTAATCTTAACGAATAATTTTAACATTTCGTACATTAGTACTATGGCGTTCTTTAGGCATGGTGCAACTGACAGTCTGAACTTGAAGATTATTAAATATATATATATATATATATATATATATATATATATATATATATATATATAACAGGAAAAAATATATATCGTACCAAGCTGAAAAGAAGTATCCTTTCGGGCCGAATTAATTATGCTCTTAATCACTACTTTTTTTTTCTTTAATAGAAATTCTTTATTAAATCAAAGATCCGAATTAACGGTAAATTGTAAACACAATCTACCTGTTACTTTACAATTTAGTTAAACTTTGGGATTTGGCAACGTTTTTTCTTAGATTTTAGTTGGCTTATCTTTCTATTTGTATAGTTAATTTGGGTTTAATTTGGTTCTGTATTAATCTTCTGGTACTATTATTAACATCTTATACGGATTTATTGGTAAATCACTACTTTAAAAAAAAAAGATTTCTTAAGCCTCCTACAATAATGACTGAAGTTCTTATCCACAGTTGCCACATGAGTTGGCCTGAAGTAATGAACGCCATAGTAATCATATACAAAACGCTAAATGTATTCGTTAGAAATAAAAGCATCATTATTAGGAATGACAGAAACCCAATGTGAAACTAAATATGTTCTTTCCTGTTGAAAAAAAATATCTCGCATTCGGCACAAAATAATTGAATCATTTCAATAATTTTAATACTAAGTGATCTGATTAATTTGTTGAGTCAGCGTTTTTTTTCAAGTATTTTCTCATTCTTTTATATCAGGGGAGATTGTAAAAGGTGTACATATGCATATCCTTAGACGTTTTAGTGTATACGTCAGTCTCGGATTAGGATTATGTCATTTGAAAATATTGAGGATTATTTCGTCTGGCAGGCGTCCTCATTTTCTGTCTTGGTTTGTTTCTGTAATATTTTCCCCGCTTTCCTCATGAAGTTAAAATATATTTCGATAGATTTTCTTTTCCACGTTTCACTTTTAACGTCTTTTCATTTTATTGTTCTTTATTTTTAGGACTTAAATTGTTTGTCATCGTTCTTTGCTTTCTTGTTTCTGAATTTCTATCTGTTTTTTTTTTCTTGCTACAGTCGTAAAATATTTCGGTAGGTTCTTTTAGCGTAAAATTTCCCTAATTTTCTTTCGTTCTCCTTTCTTCAATATACCATTTTCTTTCTTTCTTTCTTTCTTTCTTTCTTTCTTTTAATTTCTCTCATTTTTATTTTAATTTCTCAACATTTTTCGAGTTTTTTCCTTTCTTTCTTCCTTCTTATTTTCTCTCTTTCATTTTCTTTTAAATTTTTCATCTTTCCTTTTCCAGTTTTTTTTTCATTCCTTCTTTATTTTAATTTCTCGTTTTCATTTTCTTTAAATTTCTCATCTTACTTTTTTAGTTTCTTTGTAGCTGTTTTTCTTTCGTTTAATTTCTTATTTTTGTTTAAAAAATCTCTTCTTTTCTAATTTAATTCTTTCTTTCTTTCTTTCTTTCTTTCTTTCTTTTAATTTCTCCCTTTCATTTTTATTTTAATTTCTTATCTTTTTCCATTTTTTCTTTCTTTATTTATTTTAATTTTTCTCTTTCATTTTTCTTTTAATTTCGCATCTTTCTTTTCCAACTTTTTTCTTTTTTCTCTTAATTTCTCTTTTTCATTTTCCTTAAAATTCTCATCTTTTTATTTTAGTTTCTTTCTATCTGACTTTCTTTCTTTTAATTTCTTACTTTTTAAAAATCTCTTCTTTTCTAATTCCATTCTTTCTTTCTTTCTTTAATTATTTATTTCTGTTCATTTTTCATCTTACTCTCCTTTACTTCCTCAACTCTCTTTTTACTTTCGCTGTTTCTTTCTTTCTTTCTTTCTTTCTTTCTTTCTTTCTTTCTGTTAATTTTTCATCTTTCTTACTCTCCTTTATTTCCTCACCTCTCTTTTTACTTTCGCTTCTTTCTTTCTTTCTTTCTTTCTTTCTTTTTTCTTTCTTTCTTTCTGTTAATTTTTCATCTTTCTTACTCTCCTTTATTTCCTCACCTCTCTTTTTACTTTCGCTTCTTTCTTTCTTTCTTTCTTTCTTTCTTTCTTTCTTTCTTTCTTTCTTTCTTTCTTTCTTTCTTTCTGTTAATTTTTCATCTTTCTTACTCTCCTTTATTTCCTCACCTCTCTTTTTACTTTCGCTTCTTTCTTTCTTTCTTTCTTTCTTTCTTTCTTTCTTTCTTTCTGTTAATTTTTCGTCTTTCTTACTCTCCTTTACTTCCTCACCTCTCTTTTTTACTTTCCTTCTTTCTTTCTTTCTTTCTTTTTCTTTCTTTCTTTTCTTTCTTTCTTTCTTTCTTTCTTTCTGTTAATTTTTCGTCTTTCTTACTCTCCTTTACTTCCTCACCTCTCTTTTTACTTTCGCTTCTTTCTTTCTTTCTTTCTTTCTTTCTTTCTTTCTTTCTTTCTTTCTTTCTGTTAATTTTTCGTCTTTCTTACTCTCCTTTACTTCCTCACCTCTCTTTTTACTTTCGCTTCTTTCTTTCTTTCTTTTCTTTCTTTCTTTCTTTCTTTCTTTCTTTCTTTCTGTTAATTTTCGTCTTTCTTACTCTCCTTTACTTCCTCACCTCTCTTTTTACTTTTCCTTCTTTCTTTCTTTCTTTCTTTCTTTCTTTCTTTCTTTCTTTCTTTCTTTCTGTTAATTTTTCGTCTTTCTTACTCTCCTTTACTTCCTCACCTCTCTTTTTACTTTCGCTTCTTTCTTTCTTTCTTTCTTTCTGTTAATTTTTCGTCTTTCTTACTCTCCTTTTCTTCGTCACCTCTCTTTTTACTTTCGTTTCTTTCTTTCTTTCTTTCTTTCTTTCATTTCCTCTTCTTTCCTTTTTTCTAACCCCTCTCTATATTTCCCTTTCTTTTTCTTTCAACTAAGCTAGCCTTTTTTTCCCCTTTCTCCCTTAGACCTCTTCTAATCCACCATCAGAATGTCATTCAAACGTCCCCCCTTTTTACGGGATAACCTCACCAGATCCTCCGCAGTTGACATTTAACAACTGGCACCTTTTTCCTCAACTATGAGCTGATTTGCGATAAAAAGGACTTGTAAATATTTCGCTTAAGACTGAAGCAGAAGAAATTCTCGTCTTGAAATTGAAGTTTAAATAAATAAGAAGCACCAAAGAACTCCGAGTAAAATTGGAAAAGTGTTAAGAGTGATGAAGAAAAGAGTCAACACGCGTCATGTTGTCCTTAATTGAAAGCTTCTAAAAGTAACAGTGAAAACTGAAATATTGAAATCTCCCTGCGTAAAAGAGAGAAAAATCGAGAGCAAGACAGAGAGAGTGAGAAATCGAGAGAATTTAAAACCCAAAACCAAACTTAGGAAAAGGAAATGAATAACTTTTACTTTGTTAAATATTCACAGATAACGTGAGAAAGGCGATTCTGTCAAGAATAATTATAGCGAAAGGTTTAACCTCACTAGTTTTTTTCCGTTTATATATATATATATATATATATATATATATATATATATATATTTCTTACTTTAATAAAGTCCCTGTCTATTATTGTCTTGTTTTCTCCTCTCTATCTTTTTTCTCTGTGTCGAATTATTCATGCATGCCTATAGCTTTCCTGTTTGATGTAAGTGTGTATCCTGGCACCTGATAAAAAAATATATATATATATATATATATATATGTAAAACGGGAAATTATTTATTTTACGAGGTGGGGAGGGCGACGAATTGCCAAATTCTGATCGTTAATTTGTCACTCTATATGAAAAGAGTGCTCTTTTATGAGAAAGCGTCAATTTGCAAGATCCTGGCGATTAGATATATTTTTTAATTTGTTTCAGATCAATGATTGAACCGTGTCAACGGAAAGTTTGGAATTTTCAAATGTTAAACTCAGAACTGTCATGAACTTCCTATTCCTGCAGAAAAAAAAAGAAAATCGATGAAATCAATGATGCAAACACCGTGTGACAAGTTCCTGCCATTCTTAATTCTGAAGAATTAGTCTGACAGCTTTCAGAAAGAAATTTTTCGATCCAAGATACAAGTCTGGTAGTCCTTCAACGTTGATATCTCAGTTGATAAATTGTTGATCATAGTCGTGTCCCAATTTTGACCAAAAGACAAATCTGGTTCACAGGAACAATACTGAGACAATAGCGATATCTAAAGAACGTGTAATGTTTTTAATTCATGGACAGCAGGATATGTAGAAGTTGTCAGCAACATGATACATAAAGTGGTAAACGCTACAGACTTCTTTATGTGCCGTACACAGGACATTGGTAGCCATGGCTCTCCACAATATCCTCTCCTTTGTCTTTTTGTTATTTCTCCTAAACCCTGTTCTGCTATCCATTTACTCAAGCTCATTCTTCATCTTCTATGTGCCGTGTTTCTTCAGGACGTTGGCGATTATGGCTCTCCACAATTTCCTGTCATTTGTAGCTCTTAATAAATTTTGTCTTTTTCTTATTTCTCCTCAACCCTGTTCTGCTATCCATTTACTCAAGCTCATTCTTCGTCTTCTATGTGCCGTGTCTCTTCAGGACATTGGCGATCATGGCTCAATTTTCTAGCTCTTAATAAATTTTGTCTTTTCTTATTTCTCCTAAACCCTGTTCTGCTATCCTTCTATGTGCCGTGTCTCTTCAGGACATTGGCGATCATGGCTCTCCACAATTTCCTCTCCTTTGTAGCTCTTAATAAATTTTGTCTTTTCTTATTTCTCCTAAACCCTGATCTGCTATCCATTTACTCAAGCTCATTCTTCGTCTTCTATGTGCCGTGTCTCTTCAGGACATTGGCGATCATGGCTCTCCACAATTTCCTCTCCTTTGTAGCTCTTAATAAATTTTGTCTTTTTCTTATTTCTCCTAAACCCTGATCTGCTATCCATTTACTCAAGCTCATTCTTCGTCTTCTATGTGCCGTGTCTCTTCAGGACATTGGCGATCATGGCTCTCCACAATTTCCTATCCTTTGTAGCTCTTAATAAATTTTGTCTTTTTCTTATTTCTCCTAAACCCTGTTCTGCTATCCATTTACTCAAGCTCATTCTTCGTCTTCTATGTGCCGTGTCTCTTCAGGACATTGGCGATCATGGCTCTCCACAATTTCCTCTCCTTTGTAGCTCTTAATAAATTTTGTCTTTTTCTTATTTCTCCTAAACCCTGTTCTGCTATCCATTTACTCAACCTCATTCTTCGTCTTCTATGTGTCGTGTCTCTTCAGGACATTGGCGATCATGGCTCTCCACAATTTCCTATCCTTTGTAGCTCTTAATAAATTTTGTCTTTTTCTTATTTCTCCTAAACCCTGTTCTGCTATCCATTTACTCAAGCTCATTCTTCGTCTTCTATGTGCCGTGTCTCTTCAGGACATTGGCGATCATGGCTCGCCACAATTTCCTCTCCTTTGTAGCTCTTAATAAATTTTGTCTTTTCTTATTTCTCCTAAACCCTGTTCTGCTATCCATTTACTCAAGCTCATTCTTCGTCTTCTATGTGCCGTGTCTCTTTTTTTTCCACAATTTCCTATCCTTTGTAGCTCTTAAACTTTTTCTTATTTCTCCTAAACCCTGTTCTGCTATCCATTTACTCAAGCTCATTCTTCGTCTTCTATGTGCCGTGTCTCTTCAGGACATTGGCGATCATGGCTCTCCACAATTTCCTATCCTTTGTAGCTCTTAATAAATTTTTCTTTTTCTTATTTCTCCTAAACCCTGTTCTGCTATCCATTTACTCAAGCTCATTCTTCGTCTTCTATGTGCCGTGTCTCTTCAGGACATTGGCGATCATGGCTCTCCACAATTTCCTATCCTTTGTAGCTCTTAATAAATTTTGTCTTTTTCTTATTTCTCCTAAACCCTGTTCTGCTATCCATTTACTCAAGCTCATTCTTCGTCTTCTATGTGCCGTGTCTCTTCAGGACATTGGCGATCATGGCTCTCCACAATTTCCTATCCTTTGTAGCTCTTAATAAATTTTGTCTTTTCTTATTTCTCCTAAACCCTGTTCTGCTATCCATTTACTCAAGCTCATTCTTCGTCTTCTATGTGCCGTGTCTCTTCAGGACATTGGCGATCATGGCTCTCCACAATTTCCTATCCTTTGTAGCTCTTAATAAATTTTGTCTTTTCTTATTTCTCCTAAACCCTGTTCTGCTATCCATTTACTCAAGCTCATTCTTCGTCTTCTATGTGCCGTGTCTCTTCAGGACATTGGCGATCATGGCTCTCCACAATTTCCTATCCTTTGTAGCTCTTAATAAATTTTGTCTTTTTCTTATTTCTCCTAAACCCTGTTCTGCTATCCATTTACTCAAGCTCATTCTTCGTCTTCTATGTGCCGTGTCTCTTCAGGACATTGGCGATCATGGCTCTCCACAATTTCCTCTCCTTTGTAGCTCTTAATAAATTTTGTCTTTTTTCTTATTTCTCCTAAACCCTGTTCTGCTATCCATTTACTCAAGCTCATTCTTCGTCTTCTATGTGTCGTGTCTCTTCAGGACATTGGCGATCATGGCTCTCCACAATTTCCTCTCCTTTGTAGCTCTTAATAAATTTTGTCTTTTCTTATTTCTCCTAAACCCTGTTCTGCTATCCATTTACTCAAGCTCATTCTTCGTCTTCTATGTGCCGTGTCTCTTCAGGACATTGGCGATCATGGCTCTCCACAATTTCCTATCCTTTGTAGCTCTTAATAAATTTTGTCTTTTTCTTATTTCTCCTAAACCCTGTTCTGCTATCCATTTACTCAAGCTCATTCTTCGTCTTCTATGTGTCGTGTCTCTTCAGGACATTGGCGATCATGGCTCTCCACAATTTCCTCTCCTTTGTAGCTCTTAATAAATTTTGTCTTTTTCTTATTTCTCCTAAACCCTGTTCTGCTATCCATTTACTCAAGCTCATTCTTCGTCTTCTATGTGTCGTGTCTCTTCAGGACATTGGCGATCATGGCTCGCCACAATTTCCTCTCCTTTGTAGCTCTTAATAAATTTTGTCTTTTTCTTATTTCTCCTAAACCCTGTTCTGCTATCCATTTACTCAAGCTCATTCTTCGTCTTCTATGTGTCGTGTCTCTTCAGGACATTGGCGATCATGGCTCTCCACAATTTCCTATCCTTTGTAGCTCTTAATAAATTTTGTCTTTTTCTTATTTCTCCTAAACCCTGTTCTGCTATCCATTTACTCAAGCTCATTCTTCGTCTTCTATGTGTCGTGTCTCTTCAGGACATTGGCGATCATGGCTCTCACAATTTCCTCTCCTTTGTAGCTCTTAATAAATTTTGTCTTTTTCTTATTTCTCCTAAACCCTGTTCTGCTATCCATTTACTCAAGCTCATTCTTCGTCT